GATTTACATTAATCTACACAAAGCAGAGAGAAGGCAGGGTTATTAGAGTAATCCACCACTTACAAAAATTGTTCAAAATTCGGTTCTTATGTATTAAACCATAAATTTATTTCAGTACTCTTGAATTATGTACCCCTGATCGGATAACACACAATGTGGCTTAGATTTCATATGAACTGTACTGAAACTTGCATCTGGTTGGAAGATGGACCAAGTTGGCTGATGCGTAAAATAACTAAGCACACAAATTAAACCCTCTTTTTATCAATTGTAGTAAAGTATGTAAGTAGGGATCGTTCTAGGCCGGGGATTAGGAGGGATTGCTAAATCACTTGGAAACTGACTTGAAAACGTAAAAACAAAGTTTAAAACACTAACTAGACTCAAAGAATGCAAAACTATACTTTAAAACACTAAACAAACCAAAAGACTCAAAACAGCCCCTAAACACTCAAAACTGCCTTAAAACACACAATCTGGGCAGTTTTGGGACTCTAACACAAACTTGGACGAAATTTTGGTTTTCTAATGAACTAAAAACACTTAAAACATAATCTAAGACAAGTTCTAATTAATATGACTCAAAGAAATAAAATGGGGATTTGATTTTGGACGAAAATAATTAAATTAAGACAGAACAAAGTAAACAAATTCTAGACAAATTTAGTGATCAAATAGATTGTAAAAAATGAATTTGAATGAAACTATGGATGGAAGGCTAGCTAGGAGGTTCTTCTCCACACATGTCACACTTGCATACAAAACGATTTTCCAGTTGCTTTTTCGATAAATTATGAATACTCAACGCCCCAAATTAACCGTGAATTGCACTAATTAACCCTCAGTTTTTCCACAATTTATTGGATTGGATGATTGCATACGACAACCCAAAACATTCCCTACAAGTTCCCTACATGAATTGCATAATAGAGATACAAGCAAGAATCATTAAGTTCTATGAAAAACATAAGCATTGACGAGGCACTCGTTACTATGATTTGCATGAAACTTATGCCAAGAATTTACTTAACGTGATGTGACTAGAACCTTCACTACTTGTGAATATAAGTTCATAACGATTAGGTGAAACTCCCTTATATCTAGCGTCAAATTCATGCATGAAAAATTAAGCGTGCACTCTCACCAACATACACAAAATTTTTTATACGATCGGATAAGTAAATTGAATTCACAACTTATGAATCACAACTGGATGTAATCAAATCATATTGCAAGTATGAACATGTTTCGAATCACCCCCTAACTAAGAGGGGTTTAGTTCCTCATACTCACAAAGCAAAGATACATAAAATTAGACATTAAAATCAAAGGAAAGAAAACACCTAAATGCTCCAAACTTGGTAGAAGTGCATCCAAATTCCTTCCTTTCCCTTGTTGAGCAGATTGGGTTATGGACAGATTTTGGGTTTTTATGATGTAGAATGGATGGGGAATGGTAGGAGGGTTTTAGGGTGAGTGTGGAAGAGTGTTTGATGGTTGGAGGGTGGTGGAGAACTAGGCAAGAGGGTGGAAGAAGGTGGAGTGGCTGTTATGTTTTCTAGGCACTAGAATGGTGTGTTTGGGGTGTTTTGCTTCCTAGGGTGAGTATGGATGAATTTTTGTGATAAATGATGAATATGGGGGATTGTCCTTTGGCCAAGGGGTGTAAACATGTATTTATAGGCCCCAAAAACCTTAGAAAATTCAGGTTAGGTTAAGGATGAAATGCATGGCAATTTGTGTGTGTGGTGTGCAATGGTCCAAGGGTGAAAATGAAGTAATGATGCAAAGTGTGAAGGGTAAAATGGAGTGGTGTTGTAGCTAGGGAGCATGAATGATTGTGTACATTGCATAGAGATGGAAAGGAGGTGAAATGTGTCAACAAATGGTCAAAGGTGCAACAAACATGTGTTGCACATGGCATTGGATTCCAAATGTGAATGATGGAGCATCAATTGGTGCATGTAATGGATGTAAATGTTGTCTAAAATCTAATGAGTGAAGGGAACAAGAGGTATCAAGCAATTGAGTGTAATAATTAAATGAATTGAAGCATGAAATTAGAAATTATGTAGGGGACAAGAGTGATCAAGCATGGCATGGAATCCAAAGGGAATTCTATGTGGTTTGCATGGCAAGGAATGCAAGTTGGGGTGACAGATTTTTGGGCTGTTTTCTTCATCTTTTGGACCATAATTCTTCATATTCTTGGCCTCTTTAGTTCTCAAATTCGTCCATCCACTTGGCCCATGCATTTGCTATCCATTCCAAGCCCGAAACATGCTCCAAAGGCCTCCAAAATGCATCTTCTTGCATACTTTGTCCATAAAATCTGAAAATACACGAAAATGACTTTAAACATTAAAATAACTAAAGAAACACGACATAAATGCACAAGAACAAGCCAACTAAGTTGCATAAATGTGCTCCTATCATTGGCTTACGTCTTACCTTCAGAATGATGTTGTAAAGAGAAAAATGGAAACAAAGTTATGTTTGCTTTTTTTGTTACATTCAAAGGTAGCAAAGTTCGGATTCTAATCCTAGCTCACTGTCGAAATTGGAGTTGATCGTAAACACAATAAAACTATAGACTGTTAGGTATGAAGTAACGTATTAGTGTGAACTGTTTATTTATTTGGTACATTTGAATGATTGAACGATGTTTGATTTGAATGTTTTTTTGTAAGAATGATTTTCAAGGATAGATTAAAAAATTGAACTGAAACGATTATAAAATTTTTTACAGTAAAGATATGTTATTTGCAAGTAAAAAATGAATTCATCCCCAAGAGAAAATGCAAGTATTGTTTTTTAACCTAACCCAACCAATCAATCACAAAAATAGTAATATTATTATGAATAATACTTGAGTTCCTCTCTTGGGGGAATGAGCTCATTCCCCCACTTGTAAATAACGGATCTCCATTGTAATTAAAATCAGAACCATCCAATCTCTTAATCTTCATTTGAAGATCATCCTTACGAAAAAAATCATTGGAATCGGAAGCCATTTAGTCATCCAAATGTTTCAAAAAATATCAACGGTGTAAGTACCAAGTTGCATATTCATGATAAATGTTGATTTATTTGATATATTTGGATAACTAAACGATCTTCAATTTGAATGATTTTTTTTGTAACAATGGTACTCAAATAGAAATTAATTATTAAACAATTCCGATTATGATGTTTCTACAGTGAAGATTTGTTATTTGTTGGTGGGAGTATGAGCTCATTCCTCCAAAAGGAGAATGCAAGCATTAAGGTGTTTATTTCTCATTGGTAACAAATCATTTAGTTTAAAATTTTGTTCTCTCTAATATTATTCTATTATTATATAGTAACAATAGAGAGATAATTAAGAAGATCTTGTTTGCGTGTGTAGATGTGACGTTTGATTTTTTAATTTTTAATTTTTTGTGAAGATTGCCTTGGCAGTGGGTTTTCTAAATATGGACCAAATTAAGCAACAGTTTCGTAATATATGCATGTTTTTCAAGTTTCGAGGAAGGTGGTGAGTAGCCAAAGGATACTTCCAAACTTTCCGATAATGGCATTCATGTGGTTTACTACAAACTGAATGACTTTTTCTTAGCAACCAGCAGTATATAGCCCACTGCTACTGCTCACTCCCTACGATCTCAACTCAAACCCTTCCAACCCTTTCCTCTCTCACGCATTAAGACTCTGAGGGCCACGATGAATAGCAAACTCACAGTGCTGCTGCTTCTGCTATGTGCAGCTAATTTCCACGTCAACTTATAATTTTTAACAGATGGTAAGCTGATCTCGTCTGCTGTTTATGCTGTTTATCTCCTGTATTTATAGACAGTTTCGATAATTGAACTGAATTATGAGAGAGTTTTAGGAAGGTGCAGTTTGTTAATTTTAATGAGGAGTATTTGAAAATTTCTCATACGTATATATATACACTACTCTGTCCGAGAGAATTCATTTCTAGTACTTAGATTATCATCAATTTCAAGTCACTCTTGCTGGAAAATAAGTTGTTTTACTTTATGTAATCACTATGCTCAAATACCTAACAATATTACTATGTAGCCTTTCAAGTTCATATTTTCTTACAGCTCCTAGGTAGGAGGGTTGTCATAAATATTGAAGTCTTGTTAGTTTAGTTCCTATGCAACGAGTGAGAAATTTTTCAATGTAACAGAACACAAGCTGAGACACTACATGTAATAATAAAAGTGAAAAAATTGCTAAATATATTTTAAAATCATGTCATTCAGTTATATTATATTACGCGGTGTACCACCTTGTATTTCATATATCCAAAAACTTCTCACAATGAGTTCAGACCCTTTTTAACTCAATGAAGAGGTTGTTTTCATTGATTTCTTACTTGTCTATTCTTGCAATAATGAATTTTTTTCCTAAGTTTTTTAGGATTTTCTTTCGTCCTCCAACAAATTTTTTTAGCTAGCTGCTTAATTAGTTTATGAATCATCATTTTCAACAAATTTCTTCTGCTGCCTACTTAGTATTATGATTTAATGATATTTTTTTTATATGTAAATAATCTTAAATGACTAGTTCAATATCAAATTATTTTAATAAACCTAGTTTTAGCCCAAACTCCACACTCTTTAATGTAAATATATCGTACAACTAAAATTAACACTAAAAACGTTACCCAAATGCAATTTATCCTTCATATATTTATTTTGACTAAATTATACATGATATTTTTCTAAAGTATCAATAACAGATAATTTGTATATTTGTATAATGGGAAGGCCCCGCTAGACTATCTTTTTGCACATGAATTTGAGAATCTAGTCGGTGACTTGGTGGGAGCTGTATATATATCCAGTTTGCATGGCTGGCAGCACTATAGTTTCATCTTATTCCCATGTTGCACTAATACATTTATAGTGTTAACAAGCAAGAATACCCGCGCTTTGCTGCCGGCTTTAAAAACGTTAAAATTGATAAATGATAGCTGGAAACATTGAGAATAGTTTTGTTCATTACTTAAACAGTAGAATATGTACAGGGAAGATTTGTATTGACTCCACGTTAAGAACTTATGTACAATAAAAAAGGCCTACACTCAATTTCACGATTGAGCTTAAAATCCTAAATACAAAAGCAGCAAGGAAAATGGACGGAAAACAAACATTAACGACCCAAAAAGCATTGATGTCCATTAAAGTAAAAAAGCTTAGGCGTTCACCAGTAACCCAACTTGAACAGCGTTGTATCAAGCCTTCCTCTTGTGGTCTAAAGTCACTATTAATAAAGCCTCCTGTAAAGAAAAAATTTAGAAGTCATCTATTTGAGTAAAAGATGCAAACCTTCCTCCTTTTGACAGGAAGAATAGCAGAGTATGTGACATAACCATTCTGAAAACTATAGTAGCAAGTTTCCCAACAAAATTTGCAACACTCTTCCAGCTCATTCTGCAAACCAGCGGGGACTAATGATAGAAGCGTACCATGGTAAATGCATCTAAAAAAATAGTTTGAACTAAATTTTCTTGCAAAGTAGTGTTAGTACTGTCAACTTGGCCTTTTTTGGACCCAATAGACAAATTTTTTTTTCTATATTTTTTAACGGATAAAATCATTTTTAGTAATTGAATGTGGAAAAACACATAATTCACAATGTTTGCGAGTAACACGATGATAATAGAAATTAAGAAGACATAACAAAAGGTGTGAAATATTCATGGAAATTGCGAAATTAGAAGAAATTTGTAAATGTTACTTGAGTGTTTCGTAGTCGTTGGACTAGCGTTCAAGCACATCAAACCAAGTATCTCTAGCACTTGCAATAGGTCTATTGAAACGGTCCTAATCAGTCAAAACTTAAAAAAAATTAATCAAAATTATCAATTGTGATTAAGTTTACTTGACTCCATGGAATTCATGTTTAATTGCAGGACCAGATGCATCCATTTCATTCAAATCAAGAAATACAATGCAATCAAATTAATAACAAAATACCTTAATTCGAAGACAAAGCAAGGAAACTTCTAAATCTTCAAGTCTTAAATAGATTGGAGCATAGCCCTGCTTTTTGCAACAAAACACCATTTTTTTCAGAAAATTACAGGAAGATAAATAAAATTGGAAACAATTCAATTGATTAGGGAATCTGCAAATTGCTACCACTCGATAATTTTGCAGAAGGTACAATTCTGTTTCATTTCCCTGTAACAACAGCAAGTACAATTCTGTTTCAGTTTTCATACTAACCCAAACCCACTTCTTCAATTCCTTCTTACTTGTCTATCTTAAACAAAAGGAACCTCATGACATTTAATCCTTAATTATCAATTATAATTTATACCAAAGTACGGAAATACATAACAACGAAATTCCATTGATGAACTCAACAAATGGCCCTTCAACACATCGATACAAAATCACAACTTACTTTCCAAATTGGACTAAATGCAATAAGAAAGAATTGCAATGTTTTGAGACCTCTTCGGATCAAGCACACACCTAATTCATAAATTTTCCTTAGAAAAACGTTCTTCAAAACCCCTGAAATTTTCATCAGCAGGCATGAATATCTTTTGGTAAGCTGTTCTCAGGCTTCTGATCTAAATCCTTGCCCAAAGGAATAAAAGCTCTTTTAGACATGCAATTAAATACAATGAAATTTAAAATGTTTACTATTAAGATGAAACATTGATTAATGAATACCTCTGCAATTAGAATGAGAATGATATCAGATTTGGGAATTCTATTTTCAGCACATAACGTTATATTGAGAATAGAATTGTGAATTCTGTAAGGTCATATTTGAAGGGAAGTAGGTAAACTAAAACTAAAACATTGTAAGGAAATAAGAATTATTACTTGCTAAAAAATCCCAGTTGTCAGTTCCTTCTTGTTCACTTCGTGAGATTATCCAATTAAAACAAACAAAAGATAAATTAAAGAAGAAAATCAGGGGAGCTAAATTAATTACATTCTTCATTGACTGAATATTGAGCAGCATAATAGTGACAGTGAAGTAAAAAGGGGCTTACAGAGGAATGGGAAGAAGGGAATCTCCAATCCAAAATAAACACAAAGACAAAGCCCACAACTTTATCTCAGTAATTAACTCCACCACCAATAAAATTTCCAAAAAAAAATGAAGTGATTTAGTAATTCGAAGCAGAGAATGGTAAAAAACAAGAAAATTTGGAGGCAACCTAAATCCAAATCGACCTTGTTATGCGCGAACTGAGCAACTTCATCCAGCAACCGAGCTCTGAGGCAAAAAGGTGCTAAACGGGTTAAAAATATAAAACAAACTGGCAAAAAAAACTTGAAAATACCGTAAAAATTAAGTATCAACTTACCCTACGATTCACTTTACATCGTAACAGAGGTGTCCGACTCGGCGACGTTCGACCTGAATCTGACGACGTTTGCTACACCACATTCCGCAGTACCATGGGTTGTCCATGGAGGATCCTAACAAGCACTTGAAATAGTTCGAGGTGGTGTGTTCAAGCATGACTCCAATCAATGTTGACGGGAGCATATTGAAGATGAAGGCTTTTCCCTTTTCTCTCATGGAAAAGGCGAAAGATTGGTTGTATGAATTAGCTCCCGGAACGATCACATCTTGGGAGAGCATGAAACGGGCTTTCTTGGAGAAGTTTTTCCCAACTTCTCGAGTCATCCTCCTACGAAAAAGGATAAGTGGAATTTAACAAGATGAAGGTGAATCTTTTCCTACTTACTATGAACGTTTTAAATCTCTTGTTGCTTTCATGTCCACAGCATCAGATGAAGGAGGAACTTCTTCTACAATACTTCTACGAGGGGCTACTACCAATCGAACGTCAAATGCTAGATGCCTCGGCGGGAGGAGCCTTGGTGGACAAGACCCCCGCGGCAGCTAAGACATTAATCTCCAATCGAGTGTTGAATGCCCAACAATACAAAGGTGTTGGACAAAGGAGCAACCCACGGCAACACCAAGTGAATGAGGTAAGTGCCATAACCGAACTTCAAAATCAAATGGCTAACCTTACTACTTTGCTTTCTCAGGTGGTGGAAGGTCCAAAAGTGAAAAACGTGGCAGCTTATGGCGTATGCTCCTTGCAATGACACCTTATGGACAAGTGCCCACAATTGATAGAGAATGGAGGTTGGGAGACCCTCAATGCCGTGGGATTTGGCAACCAATACCAACCGAGGAATGACTCCTTTTCTAATACTTACAATCCCGGTTGGCGTGATCATCCAAATTTCAAATGGCGAGAACCCCAACAAGGCCAACAACAAAGCACATTTAGGCAACAACCCCGGGTTTCTATCAAAAGCCGTTTGCACCAACTCAACCCAAGCACAACCCGCCCAAAAATCAGGTTTTTCTATTGATAATGATCAGATTTTTAATTTACTAACTTCTATGGCGCAGGGCATGCAAACTAGGGACAAGAAGGTGGACGAGTTGGAGAAGCAAGTGAGGCAAATTGTCGAGTTTATGGGGCAATTTCGAGAGCAAGGCAAGTTGCCTAGCTCAACCGTGGTCAATCCAAAAGGTGGATTCGAATCTGCAAAAGCTATAACTTTGCGAAGTGGGAAGCACGTAGGATCTGAACCCCAACACTCCAAATCACGTTCTAACGAGGTGGAGGAGTTAATGATTGAAGAGGAAGAACAAAAACCACCCACGGCAAAGGTGTTTCCACCTTTGCCGCAAGCCCTATGTGATCCTACGTCATCCAATCTGTCCAATAGAGGTAAGAACGTGTCAAATCCAGTTCCTACTAATGTTTTTCCTTCGAATGTTCCTTTTCCAAATAGGTTCAAGCAAACAAAGAAATAAGAAGCTGAAAGGGACATTCTAGAGACATTTAGGAAAGTTCAAGTCAACATACCCCTTTTGGATGCAATCAAGCAAGTCCCAAGGTACGCTAAGTTCTTGAAGGAACTTTGCACCACGAGGAAGAGGATGTCGACCAAGGAAGTTGTGAAAGTAGGCGAGAGCATGTCAGCCATCTTGCAACGCAAACTGCCCCCTAAATGCAAAGATCCGGGTAGTTTTACGATTCCTTGTGTCATTGGTAATACTAGGTTTGAATCTGCCATGTTAGACTTAGGTGCATCTATAAATGTCATGCCATATTCAATTTATGCATCTATGAACCTATGAGAGTTAAAAAATGATGGTGTAATCATACAATTGGTCGATAGATCTAATGCCTATCCAAAAGGAGTTTTGGAGGATGTTTTAGTGCAGGTTAATCATTTGATCTTTCCGGCGGATTTCTACGTACTTGAGATGGATGAATCGGACCCATACCTTCATTACCCATCCTCCTTGGAAAGCCATTCATGAAAACGGCCCGAACAAAAGATTGACGTGTTTAATGGCACTTTAACGATGGAATTTGATGGGGAAGTGATTAATTTCAATCTTTCTGATTCTATGAAGTTTCCTAGTGAAAATCATTCATGTTTTGCTATTGATATAATTGACTCTTTGGCGCAGGACCATTTTGACAATTTGAAGGACGATGCACTTGAATTGGTCATTGCACAAGGAAATAACATGAAAAACATTGAAACAGCCACCAAGGAAACCCACGGCATGCATGAGGATTCCATTGCCGTGCCCCCTAGTGAAGATACCATTGAGATGGTGGCTGCCCTTGAGTCATTGCCATCGCAAACTGGTACGTTTTTTGACCCTATTTTAAGTTTGGTTTCGGCTAATAAAATGCTTCCTTCAGTTGTGCAGCCACCCACACTTGAACTTAAGCCATTGCCTAGTCACTGGGTATGTTTTCTTGGGAGAGGATGAGACATTGCCCGTCATCATTTCATCCTCACTCATGGCACAAGAGGAGAGTAAATTAGTGAGGGTGCTAAAGGAGTACAAAACGGCAATTGGATGGACATTGGCCGACATCAAGGGAATTAGCCCTACTACGTGCATGCATCGCATACTTTTGGAGGAGGGGTCTAAACATCTCGAGAGGCTCAGCGCGTCTCAACCTCCTAATGATGGAAGTTGTGAAGAATGAAATCATAAAGCTTCTAGATTGTGGAGTTGTCTATCCAATCTCGGATAGTAGGTGGGTTTCGCCCGTTCAATGCGTACCAAAGAAATCCTGAGTGACAGTAGTAGCTAATGCCGAGAATGAACTTGTTCCTCAACGCATTCAAACCGGTTGGAGGGTGTGCATCGACTATAGGAAGCTAAACGCCACCACAAGGAAGGATCACTTCCCATTGCCGTTCATTGACCAAATGCTTGAGAGGTTAGCGGGTTATGCTTTCTATTGTTTTCTGGTTATTCTGGTTATAATCAAATTGTCATAGCACCCGAGGACCAAGAAAAAACCACTTTTACATGCCCTTTTGGTACATTTGCACATCGTCGCATGCCTTTTGGTTTATGTAATGCACCTGCCTCATTTCAAAGATGCATGATGAGCATATTTTCGGATTATGTAGAGAAAATAATTGAAGTTTTCATGGATGATTTTAGCATCTTTGGTGATTCTTTTGATGGTTGCTTGCATAATCTAAGTTTGATCTTAAAACGTTGCGTTGAAACTAACCTTGTTCTTAATTGGGAAAAATGTCATTTCATGGTTAAACAAGGCATAGTTTTAGGTCATATAATCTCTGAAAAAGGTATTGAGGTTGATAAGTCAAAAATAGATCTTGTACGTCACTTACCCTCTCCGACTTCGGTTAGAGAGGTTCGTTCTTTTCTTGGCCATGTAGGTTTCTATCGTAGGTTTATCAAAGATTTCTCAAAGGTGGCACAACCTCTTTGCCGTCTCCTACAAAAAGAAGTGGCGTTTGAATTCACCAAGGAGTGGACGACATCATTCAACCAACTCAAGGAGTTGTTGACCACAGCACCCATCATTGTTCCACCGGATTGGAGCTTACCTTTCGAGCTTATGTGTGATGTGTCCGACTACGCTTTAGGGGCTGTTTTGGGACAAATGAAGGACAAGAGGCCGCATGTCATCTACTATGCCTTCCGGATGTTGAATGATGCACAATTGAACATTCCACTACGGAAAAAGAACTTCTTGCCGTTGTTTTTGCTTTAGATAAGTTTAGATCATATCTAATTGGTACTAAAGTAATTGTTTTCACTGACCATGCAGCATTGAAGTATTTGCTCACCAAAAAGGAGGCCAAGCCCCGGCTAATTCATTGGATGTTGCTACTACAAGAGTTCGACATAGAGATTCGTGACAAGAAGGGAAGTGAAACCGTGGTGGCACCACCTAAGCCGAATGGTGCATAATAAGGAGTCCCTACCCATTGTCGAGACATTCCTCGATGAACAATTGCTGTCCATAAAGGTTAGTAAGCCTTGGTATGCCGATTTGGTGAACTTTTTGGTGTCAAAACGAATTCCAAGCACTTTCACTAGGCACCAACGTGATAAACTTAAGCATGATGCACGGTTTTATGTGTGGGATGATCCATATTTGTGGAAATTTTGCCCGGATCAGATTGTACGTCGATGTGTGCATGATTCTGAATTTCGTTCAATTTTAAGTTTTTGTCACACATATGCATGTGGTGGTCACTTTGGCACACAAAAAACAGCACTTAAGGTGTTACAATGTGGGTTCTATTGGCCTAGTATCTTTAAGGATGCTAGAACTTTTTGCTTAACATGTGATAAATGCCAAACAACAGGAAATATAAATGCAAGGGATCAAATGCCGCAGGTTTCCATCCTTAATGTTGAAATTTTTTATGTTTGGGTATTGATTTTATGGGTCCATTTCCTTCCTCGAATGGTTTCATGTATATTTTGCTTGCAGTTGATTATGTGTCAAAGTGGGTGGAAGCAAAAGCCACCCAGACTAATGATTCTAAAGTGGTTGCAGATTTCATTAAAACCAACATATTTGCAAGGTTTGGCATGCCACAAGTAATCATCAGTGATGGAGGGTCTCACTTTTGCAATCGGACAATTGAGGCGTTGTTAAGGAAGTACAATGTCAACCATAAGGTTTCAACACCTTATCATCCTCAAACCAATGGGCAAGTCGAGGTGTCTAATAGGGAGATCAAACAGATTCTAGAGAAAACCATTGGGCCAACAAGGAAGGATTAGAGCTTGCGTTTGGAGGATGCATTGTGGGCATATCGCACGGCATACAAAACACCTCTTGGCATGTCCCCATTTCGGCTCATCTATGGCAAACCATGCCATCTTCTCGTAGAATTGGAGCACAAGGCGCATTGGGCCGTCAAAACATTCAACATGGACCTTCATGCCGCGGGAATTCATAGAAAGCTCCAATTAAATGAACTTGAAGAGATTCGGCATGAGGCTTATGAAAATGCCCGAATTTACAAGGAGAAGACGAAGGCTCTCCATGACAAGATGATTCAAGGAAAATCATTCTCCATTGGGCAAAAAGTGTTACTCTTTAATTCCCGCCTTCGCTTGTTTCCTGGTAAGTTGCGTTCCAAATGGATTGGTCCTTTTGTGGTTACTAATGTTTTTTCTCATGGTGCAGTCCAAATACAAAGTTTGAAGACGCAACAAGAATTCAAGGTAAATGGGCATCGTTTGAAGCCTTATTATGAGGCCTTTGAGGAGCAAGTCGTGGAGAATGTACCCCTCCATGCCATGGGCCCTGTTCAAGCTTAAATGGAGGTATCGTCCGGCTGGAAGACGTTGAAGCAAGTGCTTCTTGGGAGGCAACCCATGTATTCAAATGAGGAAGATTTTTGAATCTTTCCACAAGCAGTTTTGCATTTCTAAAAACCTTCCCTTTTCTGCATTTTCATTTTGCCTGATTGTCAATTTTTTTTTTTAATTTATTTGGTTGTTGCTTATTTAATTATTTTTGGGTTTGGATTTCTTTTTTTTTTTGAAACATTGACAGATATGCTAGGTATTTTTACCTTCATAAAAAAAAAGGAACATTAAGCAGAAAAATACAAGAGGAAGCCTTCACAAAGGCTGTTTGGGAGAAGTCTCAGTAGTTGGCAGGGCCACAGAAGGAAGAGGTATCGGAGGTTAATCATTTGGAGCTTCACTACGCGGTACAGCCCCAGAAGACGAAGGCAAATGCTGTTGGAACAAACCCACAAACCTCCGATGATCAAGTAAAATCTGACCATCAGATTCCTGCATCTGGTCAATTTTCCTCTTCATGTTTGTGGCATAGTTGTGTGCGAGCTTGTGCAACTGTTTATTCTCATGCTTGAGCCCTCTAATCTCCTGTTTGAGACTCATCACTTCAGCCGCTAACGATTCAACTTGACGGGTTCGAGCAAATAGGCGTTGAGCCATGTTGGACACAGAACCCGCACACTGCACACTAAGAGCCAGAGACTCCTTAACAGCCAACTCATCAGACCGTCTGGAAAACAGTCTGTTATCTTTAGGAGTGACAAGGTTTCGGGCCACCACCGCAGCGGTCATGTCATTCTTCATCACTGAATCCCCAACGGTAAGATGACCAGTAGGGAATATGAAGGATGGGCGCCATATGTTGTCTGGAGAAGGCAGGACTGCCTCTTCACCAAGGTTCAAGTCAAAACGACAGTCGGAGGGGCCAGACATTTTCAGAGGTGTTAAAGAAAGAAGAGGTCGGACAAGTCAAGATCGTAGAAGTGCAAGAAAGGAGTTTCTACAAGTAGAAATTCAAGTGTGCTTTGAACATCCTGCGTACCTCTATAAAAATCAGCACTCGATGGGATTTCAGAGATCGAAAAGGTGAGCTCAGAAATCGAAGAGGCCAACTCAAAAATCAAAGAGGCGCTAACTTTCTCAAAAACTGGGCTTGCTTAGAAACCACGGCCAATCTTCTTTTCCAGATTTGTCCGCACTTGTCACATGCAACATCTGCACTCGACGGGATTTCAGAGATCGAAGAGGCAATTCCAGATATCGGAGAGGCATCTGCTTTTCCAGACATGTCAACATCTGTCACATGCAGAGTAAGCTTTGCGAAAATCACGGGCAGTTTGTTGAAGCGCTGATTCCAACCATCTACTTTTCGAGACGTGTCAACATCTGTCACATGCAGAGTCAGCTTTACGGAAATCACGGGTAGTTTGTCGAAGCGCTGATTCCAGATATCGAAGAGGCACTCGCTTTTCCAGATGTGTCAGCGCCAACCACATGCACACTCAGCCTTGCGGAAATTACGGGCAATCTGTCGAAGATCTCTTGTGAAGTAGAAAGCACGTGAAGTTTACTATTAAATCATCGAACGGTTGCTGACAAGAGCGAAAGAATAGTACCGGTTATTAATTCCTATAAATGTCACCCTTCACCCTCCATTGCAAGGCAGACATACATAGCCCTTCTTTTTCTCCGAGAATGCCTTTCCAACAAACCCTCTCAAGTCACTCAGTGTTCCTTATTCCCTGGGGTACCTCTGCAAACAACTCATCCAAAGCAAAAGTATTTCATATCATGAAGGTTGAAAGCAAGAGTATCTCATATCATGCTTTCTCCCCGTCCTTCTCCCTGTCCTTCTCCTTGTCGTTGCTTTGGGACAAAGAGAAAGAGAGCAATCAGCTAACACTTGGTATCAATCTTCCGATCTGGAACCAACTACCTGGAACCCCTTCCTGATTGCTTACCTAGCCTTGCTCTCGAGTACTCATCTTCATCATCTTATGCTTCCTCTTCGTCTACCACATCTGCCTGGGGAACAGATAAGGGAAGTGAAAATGATACCTCAAAGCATGTGGAGACAACGTGCTGATTCATCCTCAACTAGGGACAAGGAGAAAGAAAGCAAGAGGTGGGCACTTGGAAAGATTGAAGAAAAAAACAGACCACCACCTCTACCTCGTGACTACCTGCCATGCAGAAGAAACAAGCAGAGAAGAATGCAGACTGTGCAACTCTCGCTCAGAATTCCAAACCAGTTCGAGATCAAAGCTGTGGAAAGTCAACAAGATCATCTATCTCCAAAACCAGATTTGCGTTCTTAAACTCTACTCTGTCTGGTTTTTACTTTGCCATATTTGTCATGTTTATTTGTTAATTGTTTGTTTGCTTGTTTTTGTGTGAGTTTATGCTTAAAACATTGAGGACAATGTTTGATTTAAGTATGGGGGGGTAACCAAGTTGTTTTGCATAAAATTCTTAGGAGTTTATCACCCATTACTTCTAGTGTTGTTCCTTACTGTTTTTAAGTGTTTTTAAGCTATTTTGGAGTGTTTTAGTGTGTTTTGACATAAAAATCCGAAAATCTCATAAAAATTTGAAAAATTGTTTTCAAAAAAAAAAAAAAAAACCCAAAAAGAGTTGTTTTGTGTGTTTATTTGTGTCTTAGGGTACCTTCCAACACAATGATGAGGATTTGGTTTTTAATTACATGACTGTTAAAGAGAGTTATAAACATGGATGAAAATTTGATTTACTCTTTGGTGTATGCTTGGTTGTGGTTATAATTTATGAATTCACATGCAATCATAAATGAAAAATCAGTTTTGTAACATGCTTGAAAGAAGGAACTCAAATGTTCGCTACAACCTTGTGAGACTTGAGCCTAAACGTTTATTTGGAGAGTTAATAAACTGTGCATCATTGTTTTCTAAAGTCGTTGCATGATCTCATTATTCTTTGCTTGGTTGCTACTTAGAAGGCGTTTCATCATTTAGTTCCAAATGCTAGAACTCATGCCTATTTCATTCAAAGCATGTTATTGATTTGCATAACACATATTCAAGATGAAGTTGTTTAGTGATCCAAGAGCCAAAAAGCCTATCCCATTCATTATATGTTTAAGTTTAACCCCGTTGAGCCTTGTTTAGCCTACGTTCTTTGTTAACCCACACTATCCTCACCTAGCCTAGATTAGGATCATCCATACCCTTGTTCTTGAAGCATAGTAAAGTATGACTCAAAATGAATTCCTTTTGATTAATGTATTGCAGAAAACAAGAGTGGGGGAAGTAATTCTTGTGTGTGTGTGTGCCAAACTCCTTAATAAGGCACGGGTCAAAAAAAAAAAAAAAGAAAAGTTGTGAAAATGTATGAAAAAGAGTTCTAAAGTGTTGTTTGTTGACGAAAGGGTCCAAAACATTGAATTCGGCCCTAAGTGTTGCTTAAATCTTCCATTTGTGTTAAAAGTTGATTTCTGCATTCTAAAGTGAATTCTAAGTTTCGATTTCATTACTTTGCTTGCTATTGCTTTAAGAACGTTTGTTATCCCTATCTTTCCTTTGTTAACATTACCCCAAGCCCCGTTACAACCCTTGACTTCTATCTTGAGTGTTATGTGTTTCAATTTGTGGAGTTTGAATTTGGTATGAGCATATGGTGTCACTGGTTCTCGCATCTAAGTAGTAGCATTCCATTCATGAGATCATATCTAAACATGCTTAATAACTCCAGAAATTGCTTTCTTTGTAACACATATATGTGAGTGTTCGTTTTCATGTTTACATCAATCTTCTCACATATAACTAGTGTAGGGTGTGTAGTCAGAAAATGTGTGAAAATAGAGAGTATCTTGTGAGGAATTGAGCAAATTCTCTAAGGCATGTTACTACATTCAAAACATCATTTTAATTGGTTAAATGTGAACTAGTAAGTGGTGACTGATTAATTATATGTGCTCAAGTGTGAAGATAACTAAAATCTGTGGGAATAATGATTTTTAACATGTCATGTGCATTGGAAATCCCTGAGGCAAATGTTGGAAGGATTAGAATGTGGTTTACTTGTTTTGTTTGTTTGTTTCGTTTTGCGCGAGACTAGCAAAAGCTCAGGGTTGGAACGAATTTGTATAGGCAATTATCAACCAAACAAAAACCAATGAATAAAACCTAGAAAACTTACCATGAGTACAGAAGGTTTTAGAAAACGATTGAAGCCCGTAATTTAACGCGGTAGTGGCCCCTAGTGGTCGCGATGGTTCTGCTGCAAGAGAGAGTAATTGAAAATATGCAGAACGAAACCATAGAAACGACAGAAAAAAAACTCAAAATTTTTAGTAAAATTAAGAACAAAAATCACTAATCACACAACCAAAATTAATAGAAATAAAAAATCAGTATGCACGAAAGACCAAAATAATCTTTGAGGGGGAGGAAATTGATGAAACATCGAACCTTGAGAACTTGATTTTCTGGCAGCGAGTGGAGAGGAAACGGGCAGAAGGGCTTGAAGTTCGGTTGGATTATAGGGCTTGATAGGGTTGAAGGTCAAAATCGGTGAGGAAGAAAATTGATTTCGTGCAAGAGAAACTGAGTTTTTTGCTTCAGGTTGCTAATCATGATTTTTAGCAAGAAAGGGAGAGAGAGAGAGAGAGAGAGAGAAACATAGAACTGGAGATCGGAGAGCCATCAGAGCACGAAGAGCTTTTGTGAGGCAGAGATCGAAATCGAAATAAAAAAAGGAAGGCTCGAGAACTTCTGGAACCATGCAACGCGTCGACATCTCATAGAAGCAAAGGACGCGTGGATATCAGGGGCATACATGAATCAGTCGTGAGGGCGAGGAGTGGCGGCCGCCACTCCCCTTGTCGGAAAACACCACTGGAGAGCTGGGTTCAGCCCCTCCCCTCGCCGGCAAACTGACTGGTGCAGCCCTCTATTTCCGGTGTTCTGTTTCTGCTGCGAGCAGCAGCAGCAACAAAATTTTATTTTTTTTAAAACATCCAAGCCAAAACGACATAGTTTTGGTCCAGGTAAAAAAAAAATTAAAATTTTTAAAATAAATACCAATCAGAGAGAGAGAGAGAGCAGCTTTGCTCCCATGCCCACTCCCGTCCCACTTCCATGAAAACCCTTAGAATTCAATGAAACCAATTGCATTAGAGGTGAGAGACAGAGAGCGCTTTGCTTCCCAGGTATTATTTCCAAGCCCATCCCTAACCCCTAAAAATTGAATTGGAATATGAATTATAGGATATGTTGATTGATTGTTATTGGCTTTTATTTATGAATAATTTGTATTGTTTATTGTTATTAATTGATTTGTTATCGATTAGTTTTATATCAAGTTAAGTAAGTTTACTCTAAATTGTTTATTGGATTAGAGTTTATAAATATTTTTTCCATTTTCCATTTTACAGTTACGTAATGGAATGATACTATAAGAAACAATGCTTAAATCATCCTTCAAACATTTCGGGTAGTCCTTCTCCTTCAAATATTCCGAGTAGTCCTCTTCCTCCTTCAAATATTCCAAGAAGTCCTCCTTCGAATATTCCGAGTAGATCACAACAAAGTGATGCCACTGAGTTGGATTGAAATATTGGCTAATTTCTTGATTTTTTGCATATAGACTTCGAATGATTGACATATATTATGAAGCAATTCGTAGACACTATCTCCATTTTTCTTTAACCTTGCACTCTTTTAAGTCCGCCCCTCCGTCCGGGAAATCCTGGCTTCGCCACTGCATGAAATAACAGAAAATCAAGAAGGGCAAAATGGAAGAACACTGTGCTTATGAACAGTGTTTCGGTTGTTTTTCTCTTTTAGTAAATATATAATTTGGTTAGTCTGATGACGGTAACAATATTTGGAAGTATACAAAGAGTCCAAAACCAAGTAACGTCCCCAATTTTGTCACCTAACTCAAGTTACAAGGGTTTAAGAGCATTACCATAGGGCTCAGAATGTAACTGAATTACCATCACATCGTATGATCGATCGACACTATATGATGTGATCGTGACATCAAGGGTATGCTTTAATCTTAAGAACAAGGTAAACACCATCTTACGTAATATCATATATACTATTTAAACTTTTTAGCTAGCTTTCGGTGGTCCTTTTCTTTTCATATTATGTCATGGATACTTCTCTTGTAATTTCTTATGCAGTTCCATATGATATCAATAAATTCGGTACAAATAATATTACTATAGCATCGTTAAATAATTTGTTTGAGCTTAGACATCAATTGATGTTGTATGTGACAACAATAGCAAACAAATTAAATATTGTCATGTCAGTTAGCGGTCATAGCGGCAAGATTTGTGAGTGAATTTACATGTTATAATAACTCTATTCATTTCTCAGGCTTATTACCCAACGGCAACTTCGAGTACGGTCCAAAGCAATCAGAACTCAAGGGCACAGTAGTGACAAACCCTCATGCAATTCCCAACTGGGAAATCTCAGGCTTCGTCGAGTACATAAAATCAGGTCAAAAACAAGGCGACATGCTGCTGGTCGTCCCCGAGGGTGGTTTCGCAGTCAGGCTCGGCAATGAAGCCTCGATCAAGCAGAAGTTGAAGGTCAAGAAAGGCGAGTTCTACTCCATCACGTTCAGCGCCGCTCGGACGTGCGCACAGGAGGAGACGCTGAACGTGTCCATCACTCCCAACCTTGAGAAAAGACACCGGGGAATAATGCCAATCCAGACAATGTACAGCAGCAATGGATGGGATTCGTATGCATGGGGTTTTAATGCAGATTTTGATGAGATCGAGCTTGTGATCCATAACCCTGGTGTGGAGGAAGATGCTGCTTGTGGCCCACTTATTGATTCTGTTGCTTTGAAGCTCTTGGCTTCTCCTAAACGTACTAGAGGGAAAAAGTTGAGGGGTTTTTTTATTTTTTATTTATTTATTTATTTATTTATTTTTTTTTTTTGTGTTTTTATTGCTCATGGTAAGTGATGAGTTGATTGTGATTCTGCATGCAAAAGCCATACATTTTTAGTCAGCAATCAAAACCCATTTCAAATTAATTACTTTCCCATAAAACCCAAGCTTTGTTCTTCCAACTCTCTTACATGACATGAGTGAATTTCACATGGGTCTCGCCTAATTCAAAAAGTTGTTAATTGAATTTTTCACAGCTTCAAAGATAATTCCAAATGATAATCTAATAACATAACTTGTAAGATTTAAATTATTTTTGTTTTAAATATCATATACCCGAATTTAAGAATATTTCATTACATATTAATATATTACTAATCACATTATCATTTTACTTTCATCTCGAGATAGTGCTAACTTGTAATTCAAGTAAATTGTACGTGAATCTTGTAAGACACATAATAACAATGTAACCTATATGTTACAAACATCTTTCTTTTAACGTTGTCATTTTTCTTTACCCAAAAAAAAATGCTTATCGTTTTTGTTCTATTATTATTTTTGCAGCCAACTTGTTGAAAAATGGAAACTATGAAGAAGGGCCCTATGTGTTTCCCAACACATCATGGGGAGTCCTAATCCCACCCCACATAGAAGACAACCACAGCCCACTACCAGGCTGGATCATCGAGTCTCTCAAGGCCGTCAAATACATCGACTCCAAGCACTTCTCCGTCCCCGAAGGCTGGAGAGCCATCGAGCTGGTCGGCAAAGAAAGCGCATTGGCCCAAGTCGTCTTCACCTTGCCCGGAAAACTGTACGCACTCACATTCACCGTCGGCGACTCCAACAATGCCTGCGAAGGCTCCCTTGTCGTCGAGGCGTTTGCCGGCAAAGACATCCTCAAAGTACCGTACCAGTCCAAAGGCAGAGGTGGGTTCAAGCGCACCAGGTTCCTTTTCACCGCCGTGGGGCCACGCACCAGGATCATGTTCTATAGCACGTTTTACACCATGGCCGCCGACCACTCTGGGTCTCTGTGCGGCCCCGTCATTGACGATGTCAAGTTGCTTAGCGTTCGCAAACGTGTTTGATGGAATGCCACAGATCGAGAAAAAGTTTCGCGGCTGCTTTGGTCTTTTAGCTGATTAAGTTATATATGTGTTTAGGCCCAAAATAATAGTTTGGGCCGAGTATAGAATCATTCTCGGCCCGGAAGGCCTTGCGACAAGGGTGCTATGAATCGTTCAGTACGTGGGCCTCCAAACCTAGGTCGGCTAGGTCATGACGTAAGACAAGTCGAGTCCTGGTGCAATAAGGAGTTTCGGCAGGATTAATAACCCGAAAACGAATCCGGATCAATAAAGGACTAGGTTCACAGTCATAATGAAAGTAGGATTGGTCGAGTCAGTGTTTGACCAGGAGAAGAAGTCCTAGTCTGAATAGGATTTTAACTCGACCTTGGGGGATCCGTTATTATAAATAGAATAGGCTGTGCATCATTTAAAGCCCCTCCAATTCAACACACAACTGCCCTGCGCAAACTTTCTCAACAACTTGAGATTTTTATTTTCTCTTTTCGCTGACACATCTTCCGTTGGCATCAACAGCACTGTGAAAGCAACCGGTGACACCTTAAGTCGGCATAGATAGCTCTGTCGCCGTAGAATCGGCCGATCTCGCAGTATCTTCCGTTGGCATCAACAGCACTGCGGCGAGGACGGTTGGTTACCTATCCAAGTCTCGGTCGAGAAGGATTTCTGAATCCTTATTGATTGAGGTCATCTCATTAGCTTTCTCGGCGAAGTGAGGTGTTACAATTTACTAAGCTCGGCGCATTGCATGCCGAGTTATTTTATGATTGGATACTCTCAAGTGGGATTCAGAGTTCGGCATTCAGACGGCCGAACCACGTTCACTATAAAGACTTATATTCGATTTGAGTATTTGTGCCCTTACACTTTGGTGTCAATTCGGCGTGAGTTTACTCTGACGAATAACATCACGGTGACCGAATCTGACGACGGCGATTCGTGAACTTCGTAAGAATAGTAACCCTGTCTTTAGGTTCGAGAACCCAAAAGGTCGAGACGTGTTCCTTCCTCGGTCGCAATCCCAAGACGGAGAAGTCAGCTGCGAGCCCAACGCAACAACAACAAATTTACTCCTCGACCGAGCTCGGCCGACGAGTTGGCACGCCCCGCATTCACCGAAGGATGTAGTTAGCTTATAGATTACTCGGCTTGCGCGCCACGTAGGCTTGGTAGTTTTTAGGGTCAACATTTTGGCACGCCCAGTAGGACCCAGTGCTAAACTACGAAGTTCATGCCAATTGAAACACGATCGGTAAAAAAGAAAACAGCTATGGGAAAGTCGACAGCCGATTTACCAACTCAGAACATAAGACACAATGTGCCACAAGCGCAGAATCCCGTCAGCGCCGTGACACCTGAGTCCACGAGCGAACTCGCCGAGAAAGGGAAGTTAATCTCGGCGGTCAGTTTCGCAATCTCGAAATCCTCGACAGGAACACATGCGTCCTCAATGAAGGGATAATAGAGGATTGCGACGATGATGGTGGCGAAGGATCTGATCCACCAACAAGGTCGTTTCTTCGAAAACGGCTTGATGAGCAATCTCGGACGGTTGAATAGACGCTTAGTCGAGGAATCGATAAACTTCATGACGTGTTACGCAATACCAGTGAGGCACAAACCAGATTACTCGAAATACTGGTTAGTAAGGTCAGCGACGGTAGAACTTTCGATCTTGCCCAGCATTTTCCACCGAGGAACAATCTATTACCAAGTGCACCGGCCGAGCCAATCCCTGCTCGGCTCAAACCAATTAACTTGGAGAGGGGAGGAGGATCGAATAGTAGGTCAGATGGATCCGACCAGAGAGTGGAAGCACCACCCGTCGATATGACCAAGGTCTAACAGATGATCGATTCGGCCATGAAGAAGGGGCCGAAGTTCCCTAAGTTTATACACCCATATCCAGCTTATGTGGAACAGTTCGAATACCCTAGAGGTTTTAAAATCCCGGATTTTAGCCTTTTTGCTGGAGAATCATCCTTATCATCGTTAGAACATGCAGCTCGTTTCACCGCGCAATGCGGAGACGTCAATAGTGATTTTCACAAGCTGCGACTTTTCAATTTTTCGCTGACTGGTTGAGCGTTCGCTTGGTATATTAACCTCCCACCGAACTCCATCCAGAGTTGGGAGGAGTTGGTCGAGAAATTTCATGAGCAGTTTTATCGGTCGGGAATGGAAATGTCAGTATCCTCGCTAGCAAGGATAGCTCAAGCATCTGATGAATCACCAATGGATTATCTTACCAGATTTAAATCAGCCAGGAATTGGTGTCGAGTACCTCTCCCCGAAGTCGAATTCGTCAAGCTTGCTCTGAACGGTCTCGACGTCGAATACAAAAAGAAATTCTTGGGGGCAAACTTTCGGGATATGTACCAATTAGCCTAACATGTCGAGCAGTATGATTATTTGCTCCGCGAGGAAAAGATTTCGAAAGCTTCATCTCGGGGGACGATTTACAAGAATCCTACTGTTAATTATGCATCAACCGAGGATGAATGCGTTAGTGTGGATGCAGCTGAGATAGTGATAGATAAGCCTTACGTTTGCAAGGCACTGACTCAAGTTGACTCTAAGGAAGTCAAAATCCGCTCAGCCACTGAAGGAACACTGAAACCGTCAAAATTTTATACTTTTGATATTACAAAAGCCGATGCAATTTTTGATCAACTGTTATCAGCGAGGATCATCAAACTTCGGCCTGGGCACAACATTCCCAAGGCCGAAGAGCTTAAAGGAAAAATATATTGCAAATACCACAATTCAAGCAAACATATGACAAACAATTACGTCGTGTTTCGAGACAACGTCCAAAGCTGGATTGATAATGGCAAACTGAAATTTCCTGAGAAGAAGATGAGCGTTGATACTGACCCGTTCCCCACGGCAACAGTAAATATGGTTGATGCGTGCCTACCTAAGGACAAAGGGAAAGGGAAGGCCAAAGTTGTTACGACGCAACGCTTTCGGAATCAGAATTCTCGACCACGTTTCATGGCCGATTTTTGTTCAAACAAACCACCTACAGCTTTAATGGGACCCGTTATTGTCAAACCTATGTTAATTACAGCACCGATGAAGATAGTGGGACGGCGGTTTTATGCAGTAAATGTAGAGCAAAGGTCAACAGTGAGCCAGAGGAGAAGCCCTTTTCGCTTATAACAGAACGACCTGCGGCCGCAACCCAGCAAAAGGTAGCCAACGTAGGCCATCATCAAGGGGTTTTTTATAGGCTCGGTCCTAAAGTGAGGATGGAAGAGACACCCTCAGTCAGGCGGCACCTTGATTTTGATGTTTTATTTTATGACGAGGACTACTATATACGTAACTCTAGCAGCTCAGAATCATCTCGGAGCTAAAAACTTTCAAACCTCCCGAACCTAGAGATCAACGTTGGTATACATATCACTATTCGAAAGGCGTCTATACCGCACTGTCCAAATCTCAGAAATGCTTGCACCAAAGGATAGATTGCATGGCCCGCCGACAGGCAGCCCAAGAAACTTCGGTCCCTAAATAGCGGTCGAAGGACACAATTGTCACTGATGATGAACGACCAACTCCAACTATTATGACAGAGTTGGTTCAAGGAAAACGGCTAGTTAATCAAGATGTTGAGACCATGTTTGAGGAGGCTGATAAACGGATCAAACTTCTTTTTCGGCCTGGAGAAATGAAGGCATGCTTCAATCACTTCAAGAAAGAAGCGGACAACAAACTGTCCCCACCAACCCCGCAAGAACCTTTGATCAAAATTCAACGGAATTTACATCCACCATTTCTCGGGGAGGCCTTAGGATATATGCAAGAGTTTCATAAACATCATTCGGCCAACGATCTATATGGTTTGCCGAAAGCATGTCAAGATACGATTGATCTCGTCTTAACCTGCCCGGATGCTGAGCGAATTATTCAGAAGACCTTAGACCCAGGATTGAAAGCTAGGTTCCAGCACATACGAGAAGCTCGAGTTCTTGGCTTTGAAGTCGACCCATATACTGATATTGATGCAGCCGACCTTCCCTTCTCCATGGAGGATCTTCAATATTTACGATACCACTTCGAGGTCTTTTCGGCCGTTTCTCTCTTTGGCCTCACAGTCGATGAGATAGCATGAGTGGCACGGTTAGATGCCTATCTCGATACCAGGGATGCCCGTATAATGTATCAGGAACAAGCTCGTATCCTAGCGTCAATCCAGATACAATTCCGATTTCAGGCGCACCTAAGGCACATACACAGAACGAACAGGCTTCCAAGGAGACACCGCGGGAGCCAACCATTGAAGGAACAGAGGAATCTCTTAGTACAACTTTGACGGGAACAGATGCTGCAGTCGGTGACCAGGAAAAAGAAGAGGTTGAAGATGATGATTGTAACCCGATGGGTCCATCGGTCCTGGATAACATGGAAATCAGTATGGTCTATGTTTCACGGGCTGATTTTCAGTCGAGCACATCCCAACCAAATTTTCTTGATGGTGACGTAATTGCCGAGGAAGCCGGCCATATTGATTTTGTAACTATTGCAAACGAGGACTCGACAACAAAGGATAACAACATCAAAGCAGCTTTGGCCGAACTGTTTCCTCGCTCATCATCGACTAACCTTCATCATTTAAAGCCAGTGTATGTCACGGCCCATATCGAAGGATATCCAGTCTCCAAAGTTTTTGTCGACTGTGGAGCCACTGTCAATATCATGCCTGTAAACATTATGAAGGTGTTATGTCGGTCCAACGACGAACTCATTCCCTCCGGGATCACAATGAGCAGTTTCGTTGGGGACAAGTCCCAAACCAAAAGGGTGCTTCCTTTAGCAGTAAATATTACCGGCCGTAATCACATGACCGCCTTTTTTATCGTCAACTCCAAAACCGAGTATAATGCACTGCTCGGTCGAGACTGGATTCATCAAACCAGCTGTATTCCTTTATCATTATATCAAGTGCTAGTTTTCTGGGACTGCAAGTCAGTCATTGTTCACCGAGCCGATAGTCAGCCTTTCGAAACCAACATGATCCAGGCACGGTATTATGATGACCACATCGGCTATATTACCCTACAGGGT